GACATTTACCAACGTTACAAATATTTTCCCAAACAGCTGTTAAAGGAGCACATTCACTCTATTGTTGATGTGTTTGTAGACCTGGAACAAATATGTACGCACGATTGGCTAGCTGCTCCACGCAGTAGCAGGTCTAGGGCCCATTGTGGGTAATAGTCACTTCTGCGTTGGCTGACAAACATTACTAGGTTGCAAAGTGGGCGTGCGAGCCGAAGGGTTGACAGGAAATGCCACGGGCCGTAGTGATACATTTCTATAAGAAGCAGATGATGACTCCCCGCGCTGCCAGTGTAATAACCCTGTTCACCTGCGCCTCTGTTTGCTTGTCGTCTTCCGTTACTGTTTCTTTTTCTCTACGCTCAGTCTCACAGGATGTACAGCTCTCATTAATCACTTAGCATAAATACACACACACACACACACACACATATACATATATATATATATATATATATATATACATTTTTTTTTTTACAAAAATCTGTGGTGAAAGCTTTATTTTCAGCAGCCATTATTCCAGTCTTTAGTGTCACATGAATCATTTTGAATGAGTTGAATTTGTGTTCAAGAATTCTTTCTTCTTATTATTAGTTGAAAATGGTTATTCTGCTTAATGAAGTGTTTTGTAGACCTGGAACAAATATGTACGCACGATTGGCTAGCTGCTCCACGCAGTAGCAGGTCTAGGGCCCATTGTGGGTAATAGTCACTTCTGCGTTGGCTGACAAACATTACTAGGTTGCAAAGTGGGCGTGCGAGCCGAAGGGTTGACAGGAAATGCCACGGGCCGTAGTGATACATTTCTATAAGAAGCAGATGATGACTCCCCGCGCTGCCAGTGTAATAACCCTGTTCACCTGCGCCTCTGTTTGCTTGTCGTCTTCCGTTACTGTTTCTTTTTCTCTACGCTCAGTCTCACAGGATGTACAGCTCTCATTAATCACTTAGCACGCTGACAGCTTAATAGAGCATGGCCCACTCATGAATACTTCACAGAGCTGGCTTGCTGAGATGACACCATACAAGGACAGTTATTCGTTCGACTAACCTATACAGCCTGGAGGCTATTGAACATATGAGTTTATCTATAAGCAACCGACTGTGATCATTTTATATAAAATACATATTTTCATTTTGATATGTCTAGTGCGATATGTGTGTTTTAATTAGCATTCTGAGCTTAATTTGTCGGTGTAACCCTCTTTGAAAATCTGTCTGTAAATTTTCTTTAAAATGGTCCAACTTTTTTAATTGAACTGATAAAATGTATAGCTTGAATGCAATGTCAGTCTGCCAAATGCATAAATGGAAATGTAAGTGGCTAATATTGGGGGCTTTTTGCCTTAATTTGACAGGATAGTGGAGAAGCAACGGGGAAAAAGGGGAGAAAAGGTCTAGAACAAAGCCACACGGGAATCAGACATACTGTATGTCCAACTTTTAAAAAAAGGTCTTGAGACAATGCCCTCAAAGAAACACATCAAACGGGGTCAGGTGAACCTGAAATCAGCCTACTTATACTATATGTTTGCACCATTTTGCAAAGCTGTCGTGTAAAAGTAATATGTAACAGCTCATGGATAGTCACTAGTAAAGGTTTTGAGACTGTGTTGTCACTTCACCATTTAGGTATGACTTAGGAGTCTGTATAATACTCCTTTGGATGAGGCACTAGGCTTCGTCTGGCTGCACAGGTCTGTACCGTGTAGTGAGGTGAGTAAGGTCTCATTATTGAACAAAATTAGCTGACCTGTACTATCCAGTCAGGAGACCCAGAAGATCACCAAGACCCTGTGTTCGTAAGGCATTACCCAAATTATTCTGAACAGGGTCAGACAGGTGAGCGCTACAATCTCTTTCAAGTTTGTCCTCTTGAACTAAAGGAGCTCACGGATTTAATTGAAAGGAACTGAGCTTTGTTGCCCAGATTGAACACAGTGAATCAAGCACATACTTCAAAGAGGTTTCCCACCTGTCAGCGCCTCTCCACTAGGAACAGAAATATTGTACTACTTGTTTGCCCGACATTCTTCTCGCTACTTTGAAGTGATCTGTAATTAAAGATGATTAAGTGAGAGAATTCAGCCTGCGTCCCACAGAGAGGCGAGAACCCCAAACGTGGGTGAATTGGAATGATCTAATTCTCCTGCCTCTTCAAGAAGAATACGATAAATGTGTAGATAAAATAAGGATGGGACTGTAAAATCAAACAAAAAGCCCCTGAAATGAAAAGTCAGAGTCACGGAAGTCATAGAGAAAGGATCGCCTTTCTAGAAAAGGGCACTTGATATGAAGCAGGATGTTGGAAACTCTCTTTTGTCTGGCTGTGTTTGTTTCTGAAGTTCTCTCCTTTGTGCTGGAATACATTAATTTAATGTGATAAGGAGTGTAATGGGATTCTGACATGCGTTGTTAAAGGAGGAAGACAAAAGTTTTTTTTTTTTTTCAGTGGCTCACACTACTTGAGCTTTCCATTCTTTCTGTCTAATGAGAAGAAAAAAGGGTAAGAATGGTTGTCTGGCCCCGGGCAGGATGAGATCTGACTCTTTTTAGCATGAACTGATAATAGGTTTACCGAACTCTTTAACTTGCTTATTTTGAAAAGAAAAAAAAAAGACCAGACAGCAACATAATGAATCGTGACTCTTCAAAAACTTTTCAAAGTGTTAAATATTCTAATGCTTGTATGTACTGACATCCCATGTCAAAGAAAGGATGAAAAGGTGCTATACGAGTTTTAAGTTGGCATGAAATAATAATTCACTTTTATTTTCGAAATGCCGGGCTTCTCCAATCATTTAGTCTGCTTAAACCCTGGCCCTCCACAATCGACAGCAAGCTTGTGTTCACATCTCAAAATCCAATTAATGTATACTGTATAGAACCAAGTCCACATCTTACTTTTTTTTTTTTTTCATTGATCCATTTCGCTCAGATGATATACTGTATTCACAATATGGAAGAAAAGATCTGTCGCTACTTCTGTGTCGTCGCAACTTTAATACAGACATAAAATATACAGTACATGCTAGAGAGCAGATGTGTGGTTGAGACTATTGAAAAAAACAAACATCCAAAACCATATTAAGCTGGTTTGCTGGTCTAGCCCACACTGGCTAACCTAGCTAACAAAAATATGTTCTAAGAACATTTTTCTAAAGTTCATATTAAGCTTTAAAACCTTATTTCTGAATGTTTTCTGAACATTCAAAATGTCCAAAAGTTTTTCCTTGGTAATGCGAACATTAAGGGAACATTCCATTTTATCAATTCCAAACATTATGGGAATGTTTTCTTCTGAATTAATTTGCAAATGTTAGATGGGCATCCATCTGAAATGTTTTAGGAAAAATCTTTGCATGAACGATGTGCAAATAATGTGTTTAACATTAACATTATTAAAGAAAAACTTTGAATGAACACTCTATTAACGTTACTGGAAGAAAGTTTGTTCATAACTTTGAGAGAACCTTTCCAGAATTTGCAGAAGTTCTGAGAACATTCCCTATTAGCTGGGAAGCAGGTGTTCAGTTGGTTTAGCTTGCACATGTGTGTTCAAACCCCTTCTAAAACCAGCCTAACCAGGATGGGAGACTGCATTAGACCAGCAAATCTGTGTAGGATGGCTTTGGATGTTTGTTTGTTTTTTCAGCAAGGATGAAATTAGCAAAACTTCTGACTTTACCTCAGATTTGAGGAATTGTTTACACATTGTAGCGTAGTCAAATCCAGTCCGCCAAGTGCATGTGTATGTACTTCTGTTATTTACCTGTGCGAATAGTCTTCTGCTATGCTTGCACTGTGCTCTGCTGAGCTTTTAAGCATGTGTGTATTTTCAGCTGTAGCATATGTCCATGTTGTGTGTGTGCTTTAAAGATAAATGAACTTGGCGCTTTGTAAAAGCCCAGTGGAAAGTCATAGATGAGGAAATGACTGGCTGCTCAGAGTGAATGGAGGCTAAGCCTTTATCGCAGTCTCTGTGTGGGAAGCGGATTTGTGCTTTTCTCTTGCCAGTGCTAGAAGCTTCTCCTTAACACCTTACCCACAGTGCTAACTTAACCCTATACTCTTTCAGCTTCTCATTTACCTTCCATGTATCCTCACATTTTGCCCTGTTAGCCAATCCTCCCTAATTCGAAGTCCGAGCAAAGTTAGCAGAGTTGATATAAAAACTCAGTGTTTTGCTGTTCTCACAAGTTCCTGTCCAACTTGATCGGTGCCGTCAGCGCATGTGTTAGCTAGCAATGCTATAGCACCATGTTTAATGTAGTGTAAATGTGAAATTGCATGTGATGTGCAATGAGCGAAAGACAGAAACCGAATGCTTATGGTTAATCAAACATACGCTGAGTAACTCGGCAGGAAATTGAGATGACAGCTGTGAGCAATGACATCGGCCGCTTAATGTGTGAAGTCAGCAGCAAAAGCCTTTCAGATTTAAAGAGTCAGATCATATTCATAGTAAACCGATGTCACGTTCTGTTGTGATACAGTGTTGTATTGTAAGTCCTGTATTCTCCTGGGCCTCATAATTGCCAAAGGAATCGAGATTAAACACTCGGATGATTATGATTTCGCTAATTAAATTAGACATACAGAACAGCAAAAAAAGCTTTGTTATCTATGTTAAATTTAATTAAAAAAAATATTGGCAGATAATTTTGCTCAAATTTGTCAGACAAATATAATAGCATTATATTCAGATGGATGATTATGATTTCGCTAATTAAATTAGACATACAGAACAGCAAAAAAAGCTTTGTTATCTATGTTAAATTTAATAAAAAAAAATATTGGCAGATAATTTTGCTCAAATTTGTCAGACAAATATAATAGCATTATATTCAGACCCACAGAAAATTGACTCTAGTCCCTTAAAAGGGACGATCCCATAGTATCATAATTGCTGTGAAAAGAGAGGGAGGATGTATTTCTTGTTGTGAGCAAAGGTGACATAAGTCAGGACGTTGAAGTGTTTTGTGTGTGCCCCTTTTCAACAGGCCTATTAAACCTGGAGGTGTTACTGCGACAGTTTCTCATCTCCAAGGAAACCCTTTCTGTTCGCATGCTGGATGACAGTCAAGATCCCACCCCCCTTCTCAAGGAGATCCGTGATGACAAGACTGCCACCATCATAGTGGATGCCAATGCCACCATGTCTCACATCATTTTGGAAAGGGTACGTTTGCTTGACAGTCGGCCTGTTATGCAAAAAAAAAAAAAACATAATTTTTGTCTAAATACCCTTGAAACAAGATCAATTAATTCAATCAAAAACATTAAATCCAAATTAGTGTAAGTAAATTAGTTTTTTGTTTTTTGTTTTTTTTTTTCCTTTGCCAGTAACAATTGAATATATTCTCTAAAAACAAATATATTTAGTGAAGTAAATTTATCTTGTTTAAGGTTGTTTAGTATTTTTGATGGAAAACGACAAAAATACTGATTAGTCAAATGGATTTGCAGCGTATTCCTCTCAGTCCATATCTGGATCGTATGAAAGCTTATTTCTGCCAAAAAGAAAAAAGGTAATAGTGGCTTTTTATCTCATAATTGAACTTTTTTTCTTGCAACCGCAAGTTTACATCTCAATTCAGACTTTTCTTCTCGGAAATTCAAGTTTATATCTCGCAATTGCAAGTTAACAAATCGCAATTCTGATTTTTTTTTCTTCTCAGAATTATGAGTTTATATCACAATTCAGAGAAATAATTGTGAGGAAAAATATCAGAATTTTGAGATAAAAATTCTCAGTTGCTTTTTTAAAAATTTTTAATTATGTGGCAGAAATAAGCTTCCATAGGATGGAAAGGGTTGAGAAAGATACGCTGCAAAAATCATTTCACTAATCAGTGCTTTGTCTTGTTTTACATTAAAATAATACTAAACAATCTTTTTTTTTTTTAGAAGAATTGTACAAAATATTACAATTTTTTTTAGATTATATATATTAAATTGTAATTCACTGGCAAAGAAAAATAAATGTTATAAAAAAATAATGAAATATATATATTTTTTTTTTTTCATGTCAGAATAAAAAAACAATTGTGAGAATTCCAAGAAAAAAATCCAAATTGTGAGATGTAAACTACTTTTTACAAGTTCAGACAGAATTGTGAATTTTAATTGTGAGTCATAATTGCCTTTTTTATTTTTATTCTGGGGCGGAAGCTTTCATAGGTCCATCCAGGGTTTGAAAAGTTTACAGAAATATAAGAGTAAAAAGGCCATCATTATGTAATTATGCTGAAAAGCTGAAAATAGTTTGCTATTATTTGCTATCTGGATGTCAGTGACCATGACCTTGAGCCTCAGAATAAAATTAACAATCGCTCATAAACATTGAAGAATTTAATGATGCCATTAAACGATATAAGTAAGTGTTCCACTAGATTCACAGTGTAGCCTTATTCTCATGACCTTTTGTTCATGTGTCTTTTAAGTGTAAGAGTTAAATGTGAGGTATTCATCCCACCCTTGAACGCAGTCGGAGCCTGTTGCTCCTCATTTGTAAGATTGATGCTTATGAGCTGTAGTAAATAAATCTCTCTTTCAGACACACTCAATGCAAATGAACATGAGCATACATGGATGCGGCCTCATGACTGAATAATTCGGTATAGATGACTGACTGAGCACACATACACCTCTGTAGCATAAGAGTAAGCCATAATTAAGCATGAATCATTATTTTCAGGAAAGAGAAAGTAATGGCTCTGCAGGAGAGGCTGATTGCAGGAACCGGTGAAAAGAGAGTGAAGGTGATCAATGGAGAGAAAATGGACAGACAGTTTTGCATGTGACACACCATTCTAAAAATGTGGAACTGAAGTTAAAATAAGTTCACCTTTTAAAAAACACATCTCTAGCGCGTTACTTTTTTATTCAAAAATCCATTATATGTGAATGGCCCCTTGTATGCTTTTACGGTGCAGTCACATTTACTGTTGTTCTGTGAATTTAAAATTCAGTCAGTTCTGAATATGCTGAATATGCAGCGGAGTCCAACAGAAAGCTGCTTGGTTCGCCAGAATTTTGATAATGTGATGTGGTAATAAATAAATGTGGTAATTAATGCTCATGTGGCAGTGTTATTATAGTTAACTAAAACTGAAACTAAAATTAAAACCATAGAAAAAATGTAATTAATTGAAAGAAACATTAATGTAAAATAAATATAAATATTTATTTATTTATTATTATGTATAAGTATATATGTATATATATATATATATATATGTACATATGTATATGTATGTATTTATATATATATGTGTATATATGTATATATATATATATATATATATATATATATATATATATATATATATATATAAAACTAATAATGACAAATACACTTTAACTTTATAACTAAAACTTAAACAAAAAAACTGATTCAAAATATTAAGAAAACTATAATACTCAATAATACTAAAATAACTGGCTCATTGAAAAATGTTTGTGTTTATAGAGAGGGGTCAGAAAGGGGCATAACATGTCTCCTTTAAAACATTAAAATAGTAATTTAAATTGTAATAATATTTTGCAGTATTACTGTTTTTACATTTTATATATACATTTTATATAAAATGTTTAGTTTTATTGGTAAATGTATTGAATGTTTACATATTTTTACTGGAAAGATACTGATACACCTCTTCTCTTCTCTTCTCTTCTCTCCTCTTCTCTCCTCTCCTCTCCTCTCCTCTCCTCTTCTCTGTCTGTCTTGTCATCTCGACTCAGGTGGTCTCTTCTCATGTTATCTCGACTCTTCTCGACTCAGACATTTCAGCCAGTGGTTCTCCTCCATTTTTCCTCCTCTATTAACTCCATTGCTCTTTAATCAAAGTGTCTGATGACCATCACAGGTCTTTCTTTGGCTTTTCCTGTTGCTATGGAGACACAGGGACAAGTACTGCCACTGTTATGATGATAGGTTGCATGGTTCACAGTGGGTTCCTTGTCAGTTTGTCACCCTTACTATGTTTCTCATACCCTCTTCAACTCCTCTCTCTCTCTCTCTCTCTCTCTCTCTCTCTCTCTCTCTGATTGTCTCACAGTCTCGGTTTCATCCACTCTGTTCCTCTCTCTCTCTCTCTGGATCTATATGGAGCAAGTATGTGGCAGAGCTGTGGAAAGTTGGCACTTGTTCAGGTTGTGAGGAGCGAGTATAGGGCAAGCATGCTAGATCTGTTTGCCAATGTTCACAGCACAGCTCACACACCAGCTTGAGTTACAGGATTCAATTACATGGGCAATTGCAGGGAAAATCTTTCATTATAAAATACTTTACGCAAGGACAAAATTATCATAACCTGGAAAAACTCTCCATTCCTGTGGTCCATATTCTCCCTCTCTCTCTCTCTCATTTAACGCAACACTGGTCAAATGAAATGCAGATGGGCATTACGGGACGATAGGCTGGGAGTCTGGGTGTGTATAAGTGCCATAATACAGATGCTGCTTTGAACCGTAATGCAACCACAAGAGAACAAGGTGTCCAGGAGTGCTGTGTTAGCATGACTTATGCTCTAAAATGTAGGAACAAAGCCGGGAGTTTGGGAAGTTCAGACCTGGTACTTCCGCCATCGTCAGCAGATTATGCTCTGCCACATAAGCTGTACATGTCACACAGATCGGAAAGAACATAACTTTGGGACTGTACCATTAATAATGTTCAAACAAAAAGGGCACATTTTGAAGAAGGGATGAGCAAAATGCTCAATTTCAAAGTCTAAAAAAACTGCTCAGTGGGTTGCCTGAATGACTAGTCAATTAATCATCCTTAAGGAAGCCATACACACTACTGTTCAAAAGTTTGGGGTTGGTAAGATTTTTTAAGTTGCATTTATTTGATAAAAAATACAGTAAAAACAGTAATAATGTAAAATATTATTACAATTTAAACAGTTTTCTATTTTAATATATTGTAAAATGTCATTTATTCCTGTGATGGTAAAATTTTCAGCAGCATTACTCCAGTCTTCAGTGTCACATGATTCTTCTAATATGCTGATTTCCTGCTCAAGAAACATTTCTTATCAGCAATGTTGAAAACAGTTGTGCTTATTCACTTTTTTTTGTTTGTTGTGAAAACAGTGATACATTCTTTGATGAATATAAAGTTCAAAAGAATAACTTTTATTTTAAACAGAAATCTTTTATAACATTATAAATGTATTTACTGTCGCGTTTGATCATTTTAATGCTTCCTTGTTGAATAAATGTATTTATTTCATTCTTTCAAAAAATAAATCTTATGAACCCCAAATTTTGAATGGTAGTGTATAATGACTTTTAACTACTTTTAACTGTCCCAAAATGGTGTCATCTCAACTGTCAAAGACGTCCATGATGTGTAGTAGTAGTAATAATGATGATGATGAAGTTAAAATGTCATTATTATTGTTATTATTATTATAAAAGTAACCAGAAAATAATAATAATAATAAATAATAATAAATAATTAGCCAAAAATGGTTTAGTCAACCGTTTTGACTCATATCCCATTCTGAAGTACCCAATAACTAAAAATAAGTCTCTGTATGAACTGTATGGGTTGAGATTATTGATCATGGCTGCAAGGTTAATGAAAAGATCTGCAAGAGCAGTTTTGGAGAGCTTATCTGAGAAACCTATAAAGTTACCAAGATACTTCAATGTTCTTTTTGTTCTAGGAAATGTGATTATATTTCACTGCAGGTTTTTCCTGATCAATATGTTTTTACTTAATTATTTAACATTTTTCTCTGCTAGAAAGAAGACAAACACCCCCAGCCACTCAATCTGTTTCCCTCTCGTGCTTTTATTGTACTATAAACTGTCCCTTTTACTCAGTTTTCTCTCCGTTTCCATAGAAATAATTATTGAAAGTGTTTTCACCCCTGACATTTGATTGACATATTATATTTGCTGCTTAGTTTCCTTGGAGACCGTGAATAATTGATAAATAGAATGGCAATGACAGAATGGGAATATTGTCTGTCTTTTGTTAGCTTTCATCCAACTCTGAACAGGTTTTGCAAAGCAGTGAACCTTGTCTTTTGCTTCTAAATGGCAGCAATGCCATGCACAGATTCGGTCTTAGTAGCTGTTTAAATTAGCCTAGCGTTGTCAAAAGTGTTTAATGTACCTCTCTCTTCTCTTTTATCTTCCAGGCCTCAGAGTTGGGGATGCTGTCAGTGTACTACACCTACATCCTGACTTCCTTGGTGAGAGAATTTAAGTGTGATACTCTCTAATGCAAGAGTTTTTCAAGCTCATGCCTGTCAAACATAAAGTCAAGAAGTCGAGTTTCATTTTTCCTCCCACATTAGAAAGTAAAATTATAATAGTATTATACATCAAATATACATATATGTATAATACAGGTGCATCTCAATAAATTAGAATGTCGTGGAAATTTAATACACGAGTTTCACAATTTGAGTTGAATTACTGAAATAAATTAACTTTTCCACGACATTCTAATTTATTGAGATGCACCTGTAATTTTTAGGGGCCAAGCACCGAAGGTGCGTAGGCACCTCTTGTAATCATTGGTGTTTCTATTATTATTATTCTTTTTCCGCTCTGGGAGTCTATGGCAGCCCATAGAACCGCTTGTGGCAAAGTTATAAAATTTGGCACACAGATAGAGGAGTTATGGAATTCAAGTTGATTAGTCAAACGTTCTCAAATAACGAGTGAACGAATTTGTCGAAGAGTACACCAAAACGGATGTGAGGCTGTGTCTCCACAATGCTTTAGCTTATTGAAACCAAACTTGGTGTGTGTTATAATAACCGTGACTTAGGGGTACAGCGCCACCTTGTAGTCAGGAGATATGAAAAATAGCTATTTTTACTTATAACTTATGAACGGATAGGCCAAAAATCACAAGACTGGTTTAGATTCAGAGCAACATACTGAGTCGAACAATACCCAGTTGTCCCATGTTGGGCAATTTAGGCGTCAGACATTTTGAATTTTGTCGTAAAATGCTGTATTTTATGAATGTATTGGCGTATCGTAACAAAACTCTGTATGTGTCTTCAGAACCATTCCTTGAAGATACTCAAAAAGTTTTGTGTCAGCGCCACCTTATGGTCAAAAATTATAATGAAATTTCACAAAATACTGATAGCTGTTGATTAGTTTTGCCTATTATCATGAGACTGGTCTTCATAGATTCCTTGGATCATGCTGAGAACATCAATACCAATTATGCTATAATCTAACAAATGTCTGTCCACCATTTTGATTTTCTTTGAAAACATACTCTTTCAAACTCCTCCTAGACCATCGGCCTAGACCAAATTTGACTCAGATCATCTTCAGACCATGCCGGCAAAAAGTTATGGATTATATGTCAATATATGAAACAGGTTTTTGTTTTACCACATCAACGAATTTGCTGGAATGATGCCAAACTCCATCTGAAGCTGTATCAATGCAAAGCTTTACCAAACTTTCTGTGTGCCATTGTCACCTCACTCTGACCACACCATATCAATTTGGGTAACAGCGCCGCGTATTGGTCAAAAGTGGTAAACCATTACTATGAAGCCATTAACCATTCATAATGAAAATTAAAAAATGCTAATAGCTTATGAATAGTTCTGCCTCTTGTCATGTGACTGGTCTTGTTAGATTCCTTGGATTATGCAGAGAACATCGATACCAATTATATCATAATCAGCTGAACTTCCTGTCCGCCATTATTTGTTTACGTTGCAAACCTACTTTTTCAAACTCCTCCTAAGCCGTTGGTCCAATTTTCACCAAATTTGATTCATATCATCTTCAGACCATGCCAGCAAAAAAGTATGGATTTTGTGAAGATAGGTGCAATAATTTTCATTTACCGCATCAACAAATTTGATGGCATGGTGCCAAACTGCATCTGAGGCTTATCTCTGCAAAGCTTTGACATATTGACACCAAATTTTGTGTGTCATTGTTACCTCACACTGACCACACCACGTCAATTTGGTAATAGCACCATCTATTGGTCAAAAGTGATAAACTGTGATAAATCATATTACAATTTATTGTTTTTATGATTTTTTAGCCATTTTGACAAAAGTCATCTTAAAATGTCTTTAATTACTCATTGTTGCGGTAAGTCTGATCCTCGCTGCCATGCTTGCTCCTCCTTCTGCCGAAAAAGCTGTGTTGAAAACAGTTGTACTGCTTAATATTTTTGTGGAAACCATGAAACTTTTTAGGATTAATTGATCAAAAGAAAGTTCAAACGAACAGCATTTATTTAAAATAGAAATGTTTTGTAACATTTTAAATGTCTTAATTGTCACTTTTAATCAGTTGAATGCTTCTGATATTCATAACCTTAATATTCCTTTCTTTAAAAAAAAACCTATATATAAATTTATAATAATAATAATAATAATAATAATATGAAAATAATAATATATATTATGTATAATAATACTAATATAAATAAATAAATAATATCCAGGGTCATAAACATTTAATTTATATTAATAAGTGAATTTAGTCAATTTAGAATACTATTATTACTATTATTATTACTATATTTATTAATACTATTTTTATGTTTCATTTTAATATGGGAGGGAAGATTTTCTTCTTAAATATCTCTTTGATGTTGTTTATTTGCTTTTTATTGCATACATTTACATAAACAATAATTAGTTGAAATCCAGAATGTTTTAATTCTGAGAGGAAATGACTAATGATTAGGCTTCCATTTTAAAGAACACTGAAATCGAGCGTAAAGTGCTTGCGGCACTTGCACTGATGATTCAAGGATCCTATAAACAGCATCTTTGATGTTTCCTTTTCAATCTTTCTTTTCCACGCTGATTGTGTGCAAGAAATAACAAACCAGGATGGATCTTTCAAAACTTTTTCTTCCGATGCGGCTTTAAGTTCAGAGCGCTTTAAGAGCAGCCACTCAGCATGGAACAAACCGACACACTTCAACACACTCCAACCTAATTTAAATAAGCCACTTCATTTCCCCCACTGCTTTCCTTCAGTTATTTAGTTTCTCCTGCCGCCATCGTTCATGCATCCAACATGCCAACACCACACCATCCTCCCATCTGTACACTGGTGTTTCATTACACCATTATCACAGTGTGAAAAAGGCCTGTCAAAAATGCACTACATCCATCAGAAACCCAGTAATCAGTAAATGACTCAGAGAGAGCTCTTCAGCCTCTGCTCTGGCCATGCTCTGGGGAGTAATGAAGCACTGCGGTGCTGCAGGTACATGGAGGAATTACTGAAACCATTTGTGGGCACCTTTGGTTATAGCTGACATGTTGCAAAGTCTCTTTTAAACCAGCATGGTGTGTGTTCAACAGGTACCAGATCAGAGACGAGAGAAATATGGTAACAGCAATAATGGAAGTCTCACCTTTCAGTTAAAAGAACCAATTTAGCTCATTTACCTTAGAGGAAGCACAGTAAGTGGACCAGTCTGGAAAACAAAATGGTAAGAATAAGGAACAAATATTCACTATTAACTAAGAGTTTTCCCTGAACAAACTCCTAATTTGCTGCTTATTAATAGTTTAGGTAAGGGGAAGGATTAAGGGATCTAAAATACGGTCGTGCAGAATAAGGCATTAATATGTGCTTTATAAGTATTAATAAACAGCCAGTATGCTAATGTTCATGCTAATAAGCAACTAATTCATAGCGAGAATTGGTCCTTAAAAATAAAGTGTTCACAAAATGTTTTACTGCTGATTTAACATAACTATACTATTTTGTCTATTACCTAGAACAGGGTTCGTGAGGGTACTGCAGGGGGGTTATTTAATTATAATTAAATAATAAAGAAAGAAATGAGGCTGCACAATTAATTAAAATAAAAACGGAAATCACAATATAATTAATAAATATACTTTTATATATAGATATATTGATTATTAGATTTTTGTCAAATGTAAAATTAAAATTAAGAAATGGGGCTACACAATTAATTGAAATACAACTGAAACAGCAATATAATTTCTAAATCTATTCTTTTAGATACTGTATATAGATATATTAATTATTAGTCTCATCAAGTGTAAAATTAAAATTAAGAAATGGGGCTGCACAGTTAATTAAAATAAAACTGAAATTGAAATATAATCGATAAAGATGCTTAGATATACGCTTAAATACAGTATACTTACATATATAGATATAGTTTTCATAATTGTCATATTGCAGTTCAAATCGCAATCATAGTATGACAAAATAAGTGCAGCCCTATATATAAAGAATCTAAAAAATGAAAACAAATCAAAATAAAGCACTAAAAAAATTTATATTTTATCTGTTTACTTGCATTCCATGTGACCATTAGCCAACATCAGAGAACTGTGAACATGCAGATGTGTCATTGCATTACTGAAATATTAGCTTAAATTCTCAGATGATACTTCAAGTAAATATTTCACAGGTGTACAGCTGACGAAAAAATTTGGGAACCTCTGACCTAAAAAGTAGCTGGCTGGAGGTCTTACCAACATGGAGGCCAAACGGTTTTGCCTCCTTTTTTAAACAAGCCCAGAAAAGAACCGGATGGATGGCCTCTTTAGATGTAGAGGAGACCTTAGGCATTTTAAGAGATGGAATCGGTTTGCTGATAAGCGAGTCCAATTTATGACTGTGCTGGGGGCGGGGCATTTTTCAAAGGTAATTTTTGATCGAGCTGTGAGCCGAGGCCAAAACATCACACCCACACATGGTTTTACATCTCTGTCATCTCACCTGATTCCATCTGTCATGGGAATAATTCATGTCCCCGTGGGATCTCGGCTCAGATATATTGTTTCTGTACATTACAGCAACTACAGCGAATGTAAATCAGGACTTCGCAGTGTCCAGACAAGCTGTGAATCATGCTCACCTGCTGCTTGTGAATCATTTCGAAGAATCAGTCATTAGTAGTGACAGCAAACATACAAACCTTTTCCCAAAGTGCACTTTTCTAGCGCAGTTATTCATCAAGTGCATTTGCTATCACTATAAAGGGATAGTCTACCCAAAAATAAAAAGTCTGCCATAATTTTCTCACTCTCCTGTTGTTCCAAACAGTATTACTTACTTTCTTCTGTGGAACATTAAGATAGTTTTGAAAATTAATTTTTTTATGAATTGATTTATATATATATATATATATATATATATATATTGAAAGTCAATGGACTCAAATGTTGTTTGGTTCACAACGTTCTTCAAAATA